CTCTCTCTCTCTCTCTCTCTCTCTCTCTCTCTCTCTCTCTCTCTCTCTCTCTCTCTCTCCATATCTCCTCATTCTCTCACTTCACACCAGAAAATTTTAGTGCAATTGGCATAAATAAAGGCCCAAAGAAATGGATCAACCATGAAACTGAATTCTCGTGGCCCGTTTTCGAAGTTGACACTAAGTTTTTTTCATTCTCACTTAGCATTGATGGATGAAATCAAGCAACTTTCTATAAATTTATACAAAAATTTTGTCCAGAAAAGAAATACTCTGTTATAAATCGAAAGAGGAATGAATTTAGGTAACTATACATATTCCAAGTTTTTTTAACTTTCGAATTTGGGTGAATACACATCTCAGTGTATATCGACTTATATATCACCCTGTATATCTGTTTATTTCATGTCTATCATACATATTTATATACATGTCTATGTATATCAATGAAAATATTGTGTGATATACACTGACATGCAATGTGATATACATGTGTATGTATATCAATAAAAATCTTGCGTGATATATACACTGATATATACCAGCCAAGACACGTATTGGTGATTATTTGGGAAATGTATATCACAATTTTACTTTCGTTCTTTGTTTATATCAAAATGAATATCAAAATTTTATTTTCCTTTTTTGTATATCCAAACTATGAATTTATAAATATAGTTATTCAAAATTTATTGTTGTCTCTATATCAATGTATATCATAATATAAATAATTATAATATTTATATATCATAGTGTATAACATATCAAATAATATTTATACCAATATAAATATCTTAAATTTGCTTTCCTTCTTTGTGTATATTAAAAACTTATTTTCCATCTTTGTATATCAAAAATTTATTTACTCCCACAATTATATTTATTATTTTTGTGTCTTACAACTTGCTCTAAACTTATATATATATTGCTACAATGGAAAATAAAAAAATTAGAAAAGGGAAATAAAGAGATTTTGAAAATTTTCAGATACTTTTGAAATGAAATAAAACCAAATTTTTAGGAAGATGGTTGCAACCAATTAGAAGCGAGAAGAGAGAAGAGAGAATTGAGAAGAGATAGAGAGATTCTTTAATAAAGAAAACTAAAGAGAATAAGGCACCATTTACGGACGAAGAAACAGAATGCAGAAGACGGAAAACAATTGCCTTGTTTACATGATGCACAACGAAGAATTGGAGAGAAGAGAGAGAGAGCGCGGTTTCTAAATATTATTTTTGCTATTTTTAAGGAAAATAACTTTGGTTATTGGGTGCCAATTTTTCTGGGCTTCTATTGCCAACCTAATATAAGACTAAAAAATTGTCAATTCTCCTTATGTGTTGTCATACCCTGCCATTTTTCCTTTGAATTGAATGATATGCGAACCTAATTTGGGCCGGTCCAATATCACTTCCTTTCGGGCCAACCTTCTGGCTAAACTCTATGGGGCCAAATCATGGCGAATAATCCTATAAAAATTGTGTGGGGTAGCCACTTTTTAAAGTGGTATTTACTTTTTATCCAGTATTTTTAATGCTTAGCAATAGTAGCCACTAGTCTATTAAAATTAATATGAAAAGACTGTATTACCCTTTATTCTATCTCTTTCATGTGTCGAGTTAGGTTACTGCGTCGAGTTAGAGGACTACTCAAGCATGCACGCCTCCCATGTGATAAATTCATTCTTATCCAGTTTCCAGTCAGCAAGACATATTAAGTTACATGGGATCATAATCGCTCCAACTGCAGTGTTGGAAGATATATACTAACTTTAAAGGAGGTGTAGTTGAAAGAACCAGTAATTGATAAAGAGTACTAATTTATATTTAAAAATGAATTGCATACTACTGACTATGGAAAGCCAAACTTTGAACAGAATTAAGTTATTATATTCGAGATGTGAAACTTTTTCCTGTATAAAAATTTCACTTAGATAAAAGGCAGTCCTTAACTTACAGTTACAAGTTCTAAAGTTAAGGGCAGGCAGTCCTTAACTTATAGTTACAAGTTCAAAAGTTAAGGACATGCAGTCCTTAACTTACAGTTACAAGTTCAAAATTTAAGGACAATAGGTCCTTAACTTTGATTTCCAAGTTCAAAAGTTAAGGACAGACAGTCCTTAACTTACAGTTACACGTTCAGAAGTTAAGGACAAGCAGTCCTTAACTTACAGTTACAAGTTCAAAAGTTAAGGACAATAGTTCCTTAACTTTGACTTACAAGTTCAAAAGTTAAGGACGCTTGGTCCTGAAGTTTGAGTTCCAAGTTCAAAAGTTAAGGACATGTAGCCCTGAAGTCCTGAACTTAGAGTTACAAGTTCAAAAGTTAAGGACATGTAGTCCTGAAGTCCTGAACCTAGAGTTCTAAGTTCAAAAGTTAAGGACATGTAGTCCTGAAGTCCTGAAGTTAAGCACAAAAGTTAAGGACATGAGCAGAAGGGTATTTTCGTCCGGGCAGTTAAAGTTTATTAAAGCGGTGGCTAAAGATTAAAGACATTTTAAACGGTGGCTTAAAAGTAAATACATGTGTTATTAGTGGCCAACCGTGCACTTCCCCCTCTTCTTTGAGGTCCAGTTTTGGTGCCACGTGTCAAATGATGTGGCACGCCAAGTCAAAGAGAAAAGCCATTAGGATCATGCAGTGGCGAAGCCAGAAATTGCTCCAAGGGTGTTCAAACTTGAAAGAAGAAAAAAAATTCTCCGAGAAAGGG